TGGGAATCATCTCTATAGGGATGATAGTTAAACCTATGGGAACTGACTAGATCTTTGTATCTCTGATGCCTAGCTAGCTGCCTACCACGTAATAATTGTTTAATAAATGCTTGTTCAATGAATGGATCTGGTACAAGGTCAAGTGGTCCTATGGAGTCCTCCTTCGAAGCTGATATTTGAGTCTGACCATTCAGTCAGTATTTGACTGTACTGTAGTGTAACCTATAGAAACTTTATAAAATATGTTACTAAAATCTAGGTAAGGGGGCAGTTAAGGTGGCACAGTAGACAGAGCACTAGCCTTGGAGTCAGGACGACCTGAGTTCAAATCAGGCCTCAGACACTTACTAGCTAGCTGAGTGACCCTGGGCACATCACTTAACCCCTATTGCCTCCAAAATTAAAAAAAAAAATCTAAGTAAACTATCTCTATAGCATTCCTTTGATCTATCAGCTTAGTAACCCTGTCATAAAAGGGAATTAGGTTGGTCCGGTAGGACCTGTTTTTGACGAAACTATGCTACCCTTTATGAGTGCTGCTTCCTTTTCTAGATGTCTATTAACTGTATCTTTCAAATGAAAAATTCTAGAATTTTCCCAGAGCCAAGCTCACAGACCTGTGTTCTGCAGATTTCAGTTTCCCCCTTTTTAAAAAATTAGGACATTAGCCTATCTTCAGTCCCTGATACTTCCTATTCTCCACTATTTTCAAAGATCACTAAGTGAACCAGCAGTCTTAACTATCATTTCTTTCAGCACCCAATGATGTAGTTCATCTGAGCTTGGTCTTGGTGTTGAACTCATCAAGATCAACTAAGTATTCTCTTATTCACTCTCCATTTTAGAGGGCTATCAACTCTCTGTTTGCCATTTTATTTCTGTCTTTTCAAGTCTAAAAGATCATTCACCTTGAGACATCGGGATAATTGAAGGTTCATGGCCTTCATCTCTTTGCCAAGCCCTTCATCTCTTTCCCTTTTCTTTCCCAGTGGTCAATATTCTACTTCAGTGACATTGTTTCTTTTTCTGCCTCTATTGATCTTCACCCCAATGCTTTCTACCATGTTTCTTCTCTCTGGTTCCTGCATCTCTTCATACAAGTTTAACTTCTTAACATACATACAATGTTATTGGGTCCCATCTTCCTTTTCACTTATCCTAAAGGTTTAGAATCATAGATTCAGAGTTAGAAGGGATTGTAGAGGCCATGTAATCTGGCCTCCATATCTACACATGAGAAAACTCAGGCTCAGAGAGATTAAGTGATTTCATATATCTTCCTCCAGAGTCATATTCCAGGAAGAGTCATCCCACTAAGTCTCAATAATGCCTCTGAGTTCAAATTTGCCTCCTTGTATTAGGAAGAAGAATTTTGGGGAAAGATAATAAGCTGCATTTTGGACATGTGAAAGTTAACAATGAAGGCTAACTGGAAATATTTTAGCAGGTAGTTGGAGATACAGCCTGCAGTTTGGGTGAAAGGACAGGGTTAGAAAACTAGATTAGGGTTTCATCCATGTAGCCTTAAAATCATCTACATTTGTTTAGAGAACACTTGATAGTTATAAAACACATTGACATACATTATCTCATTTAATTCTAATAGGAACCCAAAGAATTAGACAGTCAAAGTATTGTTAATCCATTTCTCCTGTTTACAAATGAGAGAACTTAAGTTTGAGGAGGTTATAAGTAATTGGTCAGAGTGTCTCTCTGCCAGTTAGCAGATGGTGGAACTGAGACTCCTAGTCCACTTTCTTTTTCTTCTACCCCACCATTCTTTTCAGAGAAGTGATAAATGAAATGGTGAGAATATATGAGAGAGAAAGAGAGAAGAAGGGGGGAGAGAGAGGGAGAGACAGAGAGACACTGAGAAAGAGTAAGGAGGAGGAGAGAAGAGAAGGAGCAGCTAAAAGCCAAAGTCTGAACTTTGGAACATATCCCACAAGAAGCTGAATGAAGAAGGAAAAATGAAATTAAGAAAAAGCATTGAAGTAGTAGAAAGAGAGAACCAGAATGGTGTATAGTAGCACAGAAGCTAAGGGAAGAAATAGTTTCCAGAAGAGGGTAGTCAACATTGTCATGTGCAACTAAGTTCCAGGAAAATGAGGATGGAAAAAAAAATCATCAAAATGATTAATCAGGATAATACTGAATCTTCAATGGACCCACTTTTGTATAATGGTGAGGACAGAGCCCAGACTGGGAGAGATCAGGTGGTTGAAGAAATGAAGGTAGCAGGTATATTTTGTAAAAATGTATTAGCATGAGAAGGAGGAAGGGGATGGATAAATTTACCAGGTCCCATCAAGCAAGACAGGCACATTCAGGAAAATAGCAAATTCTGTCTTGACAGATCCATGAATCATCAAACCAGATAGGGCTCCAACTGTTGGTAATTCTTTTTTCACTTAAAAAAATACATTTTTATCAATGTCTTCTGTTCCTTACATCATCATAGTGACATTTAATAAATGTTGTTTATTTGTTGTTTAAAAAAATGTGTTAGCACTTGGATGGGAAGACCACCAGGCTTAGATGAGGAGGAGCCATAGAGATTCCCTCTCTGGTCTCAAACCCCTTATCTTCCAAGGTGAGGAAACTTCCAGGGAAATAATACCCAGGGAGGTAAAGTCACACATCATACAGATAAAAAATTCTAGAGGCAGAATTCAAATATAAGTCTTCTGATTACAAATCCAGGGTTTTTTCTCACTTTATTTGACTGCCTCTAAGAGGCAGCAGGAGATAGTGAAAGGTTTGTGATAAGGCATATTAGAAAGCAGCAGAAAGGAGCGAATGGAAAAGGAAGAGATAAAAGAGGGAGGGGTAAGACAATAATCCTGTATGTCAGGAACTGAAAAGAATGGGGTCATGTATATATGTGGTATGGTAAACCTTGAGAACAGAAAGAACACCTGTTCCTAGAAGATTGAGGATTAGGATGAGCAGATGAATGCAGGAACTAAAATGTACTGATAAAGGGATATGGAGAAAAGTTGTGAAAGTAGAAGACAAGGTTCCTTCACTTCAAATCTAGTTGGGGAGAAAAAATATACAAGATGAAACTGGAGAATGATAGAAGGTTCTAGACCAGTCTGAGAATTCAGGATAAGGAAACAGAGTTAGTCAGGGAAAGCTTCACAAAGGAGGTGAAATTTGAGCTGAAAGTCTCTTCTTTCCCACCCCCCACCCCCCAAGCCTCCCTGCCCCCCAACCCAAGAATCCTTGGTGTCTTTCCTCACCTCAGGGATCCTGACATCTTGTCCCCAGGTACATTACCTGCAGTGCCCCATTGCCCTCTGGTGTGGCCTGAACCATTCCCTCGTGTTGAGCCAGAGCTCGGATTTCAGCAAGGAGCTGCTGGGCTGTGGCTGTGGAGCTGGGGGTCGGCTCCCTGGCTGGCCCAAGGGGAGTGCGTCTTTCGTCAAGCTCCACGTCAAGGTCAGGATTATGATGGGGGAAGCAAAGGCGGGTTATAAAGATCGGAGGTCGAGATAGATAAGAACCAGAAAGTAGGCTCTTTTGATCTCTGCCCTTCTACCCTCCCTGCCCCCCCCCCCCACTAAGTGATATGCATGCACACACAAATACATGCACACATAACTCTCTTCTTCGGTCCCTTTCCTGTTGTGTACCACTTGTTATGGGGTGTGTACCCTACCCAATAATCCTCAGGCTCTTCCCTGGCCCCTCCCTCACATATTTCTCCTATCTAGTTGGTTGGCTCTGTAGGAAAATGAAGTAGACTTCCCAAAACCCAGGCCTTCCATTTTCCCTTCCAAAACTCCAGCTTAAAATGCCCTATCCTTCTCCTGTGTACACACACACACACACACACACACACACACACACACAGAGTCATCTTCTCTAGCCTCAAATGCCTGCTGTGTTCTCTTCACTTAGGTCCCTCTTTGTGCCTGCTCTCTTTGCTCCACAAGAGAGTGCCTCTACATGCTCTCCAGCCATGACATTGAACACCGCCCCACTTACCGTGACCTGCCAGCCAGCAGGGCCACAGGCACATCAGAGTCCAGTGTGGGGACTGGGACATCCCAGGATCCTGGGGGGGCAGCCCAAGCCTGTGAGGAGTACCTGAGCCAGATTCACAGCTGCCCCACTCTACAGGACCGGATGGAGAAAATGAAGGAGATTGTGGGCTGGATGCCTCTGCTAGCTGCACAGAAGGATTTCTTCTGGGAAGCATTGAACATGCTGCAGAGGGCTGCTGGGGGAGGTGGCCCAGGACCTGCACCCCCTGAAAGCTGACCCCCCTTACTCCCCCAAAAGGAAGGGGAAAAACTGGCCAGGGGCCAGGACAGAGGAGAGCTGAAGCGTGTACTATATATATGTGAGAGATTTGGGGATGGGGGAGGGAACAGGAGACATGCACTGGGACGGGACAGGGGTTGTTTTGTAAAATGTTCGGGGGACTGCCCAGGAGGGGCCCCCAACCTGGGCATCATGGACAAAAGAAATTTGACGGATGGATACAATAAAAGAAGCCGCAGCAGAGCCCTGGATACTTGGGTCCTAGGAGGGGAGTAGGAATGATGGTTGCCTTGGATACTCATGAGAAATAAGGGCTCAAAGAAGAGAAAGCAGGGAACCTGAGAGTAGAATGCTTGAAGCTTAGGAAGAAGAGCTAAGGGAAGGTAGTGGACCTGGTCAGTGGAGATAGCCAAAGGAAGTGACTATTTTTTCTTCTCCTTTAACTCTCCCTTTGCCACAGCAAACCTCCCTAAGATCTAAATGGCAGGGAAAATGCCATCCCTTGAGGTTCTAGCTCCACATCGCAAAACACTCATCTTCTGTTTCCCCCATTAGATACTTTATCTTCTTTTTGCCTCAAAGTCTTCTATCTGTTCACATTTCTTTTTTTTTTTTTTGTGAGGCACTCGGGGTTAAGTGACTTGCCCAAGGTCACACAGCTAGTACGTGTCAGGTGTTTGGTCTGAGGCCGGATGTGAACTCAGGTCCTCCTGACTTCAGGGCCGGTGCTTTATCCACTGAGCCACCTAGCTGCCCCTCACATTTCTTTTGATATCCACTTTCCCACACTCATTCTTCCTCAGGTTTTACCTCCATATACTCAAGCTGTCCTTAACTTTTTCTCAGTCTCAAACTTTAACATGTCCTTCACATAGTACCTTCCTCCAGTCTTGTGCAAGCCCCTATCTGCTATTTCTTCAACTTGTCTGGCAGTGCTGGAACTATTTGCCCACCCTTCCAAATTCTCCCCTGACTTGGACTGGAGGGCCAGATGCCTAGAACCAAAGAATAGAAGTGGGGGCAGAGAAAAGGGGAACAGGAACCCTGGGTAAGCAGAATTAAGAGCTAGGTGGAAAGTGGGGGATGAGGTCAGATCCAGCTATCAGGCTGGAGGCAGTCCTAAATAGGAACTGGATGCATGAGTCCCCAGAGAAGAGCATGAGTTTGTGGTAAAATTACAAGACAGTTGGATCTTGGCCAATGGCTAGGGGTGCTTCCCCTGCTTCCCTCCACTTAGGTTAAGTCAATATTTGTGTGTACTGGGCTTGAGAGGCCCCCAGACTTGGCTCTGTTTTTTCACATCCCCTTCTTCCTCCCCTTCCCCCATTCCTCTCCCTAATTCGTCCAGTCCCCACGCCCACACACTCGAAGCCAACCCATCTGGCATTGATTATCCTGTTGCTGCTGGACTCAGCCGCTGCCTCTGTCTCAGGGACCCCGGCTCTTCTCCCCCTAGCCATGCTGCCTCCTATCCCACTCTTCGTCCTGGGGCCCCTCTTTACTTCCTTCGTCCTGCTATTCCTCACCCAGGCCCAGGGAGCTCCTGCCCAGACCCCCAACTACACCAGGTAGGTCTATTTCCACCCCTGATGTACCTTTCCCAATGTCTACAGAATCCAATGAAAGAACTTAGCTTTATGGATTTTATATTGATGGAAGCCATTGATTTTCCCCCCTCTCTTTTGCTCCTTGAGAACCCCTTCACTTTGACCCTCATCCTCTTTTGCTATTAGTCATCCTAAGTCTTCTTTCAGCTCTCCGGCTCTTTTGTTTCTCAGCTGACTCCCACTTGAACCCACCCAGAACCTTTTTTCTAATGTCTTGTACCTCTTTTCTCTGCCCTTCTTCTCCTTATTCCAGATTGCTGTGACCTGAAAGGAGCTACTTCACTTTAGAGGGTCTGAACATCTGTGTTCAGGAGGGATGGGGGGGATGGGTTAGTCAGAAGGTCAGGAAGTCTGATGCCCAAGTCCTCGGCTTCAGCAGAAATTGAGGCAAGTGTGGGAGTTAAAGGGAGGATGCCTGGATTCATTGAGATATATCATTGCTTTCCTCTCCCCTCATATCCTGCCCCCTCCTTTTAGCAGGCTTGTGGCCGTGGCCACATCTGGTGCTAGTTAAGTCAGCTCATGTCCCAGCTGCCTGGCAATGTAAAGGGAAAGGATTCCAAGAATTCCGGCCTTCTAGCCAGGGTAGGGGTGAAGGACCTGGGGGAATGGGCATAGAGAGGATGTTGGGAACAGTTACTCAAAACTGTATCTCCTCCTTTGCTCCCTATCCCTGGATCTTCCTCCCTATCCCAGTTGGCTGTAATGCCATTTGCCTTGCCCATTTGCCAAATGCTTTGCCCATTTCTAGTAACCCTTCTCTAGCCTCAATCTCACCTCCACTCCAGCAACTTTCCCACCCCTCCTGCATTTGTTTCATCCATATTTCTCAGTATACTATCTCACTAAAGTCTGACCCCTCCCCATTCTTATTTCTTATTTGTATCTCTTCTCTGCCTCCCCCTACTCATACTGATTACCCACCGCCTTCATTTATATGTCTGGCCAACTCCCTAGACCTGTGTTCCTGTGCGGAGGGGATGTGACCGGGGAATCAGGCTACGTGGCAAGTGAGGGCTTCCCCAATCACTATCCCCCCAACAAAGAGTGCATCTGGACAATCACGGTGAGTGTCCTCTCTGCCCCCAGCTCTGCCAATTTCAACCATTTCCCAACTCCTAGGATCAGGGCAGCTGATCTTGGAATAAATGCTCCCCTAAGAGTCTAAGATCCTTCCCCCCAATCAGGATCCAGGAAAAGGACCTTTCTCTTGCTAATCCCCATCTCCCTTATATCCATCAAACTAGGTCAGGTTACTGCCATCTCCCTACCCACTCCAAGGGAAATGCTTTCTGATGATATATCCTATTAAGCCCCAAGCTCAACACTCCTTAGTTTATAATAACCCATTTAGGATTCTAGAGTCCTTTACTTTTCTAACACTTCTGTACTTGCAGGGGAAGCACAAGCCTTGGCTCCTCCGTGCCTTCTTGCTAAAGGACATTCTGGGCAACAAGACCAAGGGAGGGAGACAAAGCTTCATCCCTATCAAAAATAAGTCTTACTGGCCAAAGAAGGAATTCTAGGGGACCTTTCTCCATAACTTGGACCCGGGCATCCCCAAACTCCCTTGGCTTAACTGCCAGAGGGGAACTTTTTGATGTTTTCCTGAACCACACCAGATCTCCATCTCATGATCTGGCCCCAGATAGCTAAGGACAAAGCTCCCCAGCAATGGTGAAGTTGGGATTATAGGTATGGAAAGAAGAAATGGGAGTCCTGAAGTGTACCTTGGCCCCTCTGCCCTTCCTTTTTCTCCTCCAGGTCCCTGAGAGTCAGACTGTTTCCCTCTCCTTCCGAGTCTTTGACTTGGAATTGGATTCCTCCTGCCGCTATGATTCCCTGGAGATTTTTGCTGGGGCAGGGACATCAGGCCAGAGTCTTGGACATTTCTGTGGGACCTTCAGGCCAGGGCCTGTGGTTGCTCCTGGCAACCAGGTGACACTGAGGATGAGGGCTGATGAGGGGACAGGAGGACGGGGCTTCCTGCTGTGGTACAGTGGGCGGGCTACCAATGGCAATGGTGAGATCACCCCTCCCCCCACCTCTCTCTCAAACACTCACACACATACTGCCACCCTGTAACTTGTGTCCCACCAGAATCCAAAGACAAAGAGATCCCTGTCCATAAGACACAAACCCCTCTCCCAAGAGGCTCAGGCCTGTCCCTACTAGAGGTCCCGCCATGCCTTACAGAGGGCCTTGCCTCCGGTTACTCTCCTTAATCCCCATCCTCCCCTCTCCTTTTGCCCTTACTAACTGTCCCTTCAGTCCCACCTCTCCATCTTTTCTACCCTTCCTTTCCCTCCCTCCCACCAAACCCCCTCTTCTAGGCACCCCCCCAGGTGCAAGGCGGAAATGGGGC